TATATATATACATACAAATATGTATATAAACTGCCGCGGATATCTACCTCGATCGAGAAGATGGACGAGGAGGAGGAAGAGGAGGAGGAAGAGGGACAACAAAGAAAGAAGATTTCGTCTTCGCCGCCGATGTCTCACACATGTTCGTTGTTTTTCGACCACCCGAGGCATCTCCTCGAATTCGGCCTCCAGGAACCGTTTTCGGTGCCGGGGGCCACCAATGAAAGTCAGGGATGAGGATCGACCTCCCTTGCAGGTGCCACCCCTTCGCGAAGGAAGGAACACGGGGTGGATCGAGGCTCGAGGCATGAGAGTCCTAGTTCTTGGGCGCTCTCCGCCCCCTCTGGGACATCAGGAAGCTCCTCGTCGACACAGCTGGGTCCACTTTCGAACTTCTGGCCGGACGCAAACCCAGCTGGGTCTCAACGATCCCCGAGCCTATCCAGGGGGTGGAAAAGGAGGCCTGGGACAGGCCCCGTGAAGGCCCCAAGAAACTCACATGAGACCACGAAAGACTTCAAAACAATCCCCTGCAAGGCCCCCCCTTGAACCCCACACGCTACGTAGGACAGGCCGACACTCCAAGATTGCCCAGCGATCGCGCACGTTGCGCGAATTCTGTCTTTCACTCTTGCTGCCGCCCCAAGGGGTCGGCGGTGCGGCGTAAGCAGATGAATAAATCAATAGTGAGATCAACATGAGATCGATAGTGGGACCGTTAGTGAGAACTGTTGTGAGATCGGTAGTGAGTCCGAATGTGAGGTCGATAGCGAGTTCGATTGACAAATCGATAGTGCGATCGGTTGTGAGGTCGATTGTGAGATCTGTTGTGAGATCGATCGCGAGATCGCTATGAGATCGATAATGAGTTCGATTGTCAAATCGATACTGAGATCGATTGTGAGATCGTTAGTGAGATCTGGTGTGCGATCGGTGGTGAGATCAATAGTGGTATCGATAGTGAGATCTGTTGTGGGACCGATGGTGTAATCTGTTTTGAGATCGATAATCAGATCTGTCGTAGATCGACGGTAAGACCGCTCGTGCTATCTACAGTGGGTTCGACAGTCAGATCGATAGGGAGATCGGTTGTGAGGTCGATTGTGATATCGAGGGTGAGAGAATGAGATCGATGGTGAGATCGATAGTGATATCGATACCGAGACCGTTAGTGGGAGCTGCTGTAATATCGATCAGGAGTCCGAAGTGAGATCGATCCTGAATTTGATTGACAGATTCATGGTGAGATCGAGTGGGAGATCGATAGTGAGATCATTTGTTGTGATATCGATCGCGAGATCACACGTGATATCCTTACTGAGTTCGACTGTCAAACCGATATTGAAATCTATTGTGAGATCGATGGTGAGACCTGTGGTGAAATCGATAGTGAGATCGGTTGTGAGATCGAGATTGAGATCTGTTGTGAGATCGAGAGTTTGATCGATGTGGGATCGATCGAATGAGACGTTGGTTCCCCCTCTCCCCCGAACCTCCGTATCACCCGAAGGGTGATCGTATAGACAATTCCGCGGAGGGGTGGAGTATGACGAGTAAGACAGTGCAAGGGGGAGGCCGGAGGCCTCAAGGCGGCTCCTTCGGAGGCAAGAGCCCCCGATGACAGTCCCACCCTCGATCGACCTCAGTCCCGTCCCCGATCCACCCCAATCCTCGATCGGACCTCGACCGCACATCGGTCCTCCATCAACGACCCCCGCGTGTCATTTTCACTCCCAGAGTGGCGTGAGCGCGGCGAGGCCCGAATCCTAATTATCAGGGGGTCTTCTTGGAACCCCGCTCGGATCTTGGTGGGATCTCGCACTGAGAGGCCCGGGGGCGGGATGTCACCTCCAGGGGGCGAGGGGCGAAGTCGGGGGAGGGGCTCGATCATCGCCACCCCTGGTGACCCTTCCCCGGGCTGCACCAGGAGCACGCAGAACGAGCGCAGCGCGTGAGGCATGCGCCCTCCCCCAGCCGAGCATGCTCCCACACGCCTCGCTCCCATGCCAGACTTCCGGGCACTTGCAGCCCAGACCCCCGACGTCGCGATTTCTTCACAACGTCGACCCCCAGAGGTCTCGACCCCTTCCCCGGGACGGGCTTCTCCTCCCGAGCCGTTGATTAGACGGCCCCGAGGCCCGGCACGGGCCCCCCGAGGCCGAAGACGGCGAGGCACCTCCCGCGACGATTCTTTCCTGACGACGCGAGGGGGTCTGCATGGCCGCCCCGCCGAGGCGCCTGCAGCGTGTCCCGCCGAGGCGCTGGAGACACCAGAAGGTACCGATACCGCTCTACTCTCTCCCAGGGTGCGTTCTGACTATACAGGATTCCGAGGCGATCATCCAGCGGTGGCGACGAGGCCCGCCCAGGAGGCCCCAGCAAGGGGAACAAAGGCCCGAGGGCAGCGGCATGGGCACCCCTTCCTCCTCCGACTGGCAGCCCCGCCGAGGCGCCTGCAGCCTGCCCCGCCGCCGACCCGGCGCCGCCCGGCGCCTCGGCGCCGCCCGCCACGGCCGCCCCGGCGGCCTCCTCCGCCGCCGCCGCCGCGGGCGCCGCCGGGGCGCCCGGCGCCTCCGCGCCCGGCGGCCCCGGCTCGCCGCGCGGCGGCTCCTCGGCCAGCAGGGCGGCGGCGGCGTCCGGCGGCCCGGGGAGCCCTCGGCCGCCTGGTGGGCGGGGCTCCTCCTCGTCCTCCTCCTCCTCCTCCTCCTCCTCCTCCTCGTCCTCCTCCTCCTCCTCCTCCTCGTCCTTCTCCTCCTCCTCCTCCTCCTCCTCCTCCTCCTCCTCCTCCTCCTGGGGCTGAGGCAACATAATCGAATCGATGAGTCGAGTTGGCGATCGAAATGACTCGAATCGGCGAAAAAATCGGCAGCCAAGTGGGGAGGAGCCGAATTGGCTGACATCGGCAAGGAGAAGGAGTGATGCCTCATTGATCCAAATCGGAGTCTGAAGCCGCATCGAATCGGAATCGGATTCCACCGAAATCGAATCGAGTCGGCTCGCAGAATATCGAAACGAGCCCTGCTGAGGGCCCCGGTCGCGAGGTTTCATGAGGCTGTCTCTTGGGGGCGACGTTGAATGCCAGGGGGAAGGGGCCGCGACGACGGGGGGGGAGGGGGGGGAGCAGCCGCTTCGCGATAGCTCTGGTTCTCTCCGCGCTCGCCTGCATTTCCGGTGTCTGGATGAGGCGCGTGCGCGCGTGCTGCGGGAAGGAGCAGAGGGGGGATAGCCCGTGCTGAGGCAGGAGCGCGGGGAGGGGAGGTAGAAGAGAGGCGAACAGGGGAGGACGAGAGCATGGTGAGGGAGAGGGAACAAAAAGGAGAGGAGGGGAGAGACGAAGGAGAAGGCCTGAGACGGAGGGAGACAGGAGACATGACACAAGTCACGCACGAACGGGACCATCCTGGGAGGAGTTCCAGAGAGAATGGGGGCAGGAGTGGAAACGAGGAGGAGAAAGGAAGGGCGGGAGAGGGAGAAGTGAGAAGTGGGAGGGGAAGGGTGGGGGGGATGGGGGTGGGGAAGGAGCGCGGATGGGACATGGGGTGGGAGAGGGGCAGGCGGGCCAACCCCTCGGAGGGCTCTGAAGCCCCGAGCACTCGATGAGGATATCCTGACGCGGGGGATGACAACGAGACGGACGAGGGGGGGGACAATGAGGACGAGGAGGACGAGGAGGGCGAGGGGATGAACGATGAGGGAGAAGTGGAGGTCAGGGGATGGAGACGAGGACGACGATGAGGAGGAGGGAGGGTGTTTGAGGAAGACAGGATGCGGAAGAGCATGAGGAGAAGGAAGGAAGACGAATCAGAGGAGGAGGAAGAGCAGAACGAGGAGCGCGCGTCTGGGCGGGGAGTGGGGAGGAACGGGAGGAGAGGGCTGGCGGAGGAGTTCTCCTTCCCCCCCCCTCACCACTGCGTGCGAATTCTCGCCCTCGCCGCCGCCCCCTCCTCCTCCTCCTCCTCCTCCTCCTCCTTCCTCCGCCTCCTCCTCCTCCTCCTCCTCCCCCTCCTCCTCCTCCTCCTCCTCCTCCTCCTCCTCCTCCTCCCGCCCCCGCCGCCGCCGCCGCCGCCGCCGTCGGCTCCGCCACCGGCGCCGACGCCGCGGGGGGGCCTGCGCGGCACCCTCGGCGGGGCCGTCCGGCGCCGCGGCCTCCTCCTCCGCGGCGGCGGGCCCCCCGCCCGCGGCGTGGCCGCGCTGCCCCGGGGCCTCGGCGGGTCCCGCAAGAGGGGGGGGGAGGTGCCTGGCGCTCCTCCGCCCCCTCTCCGTGCTCGTCCTCGCCGCAGCCCGACCGGACCGGTCAGAGGAGGAGGAGGAGGAGGAGGAGGAGGAGGAGGAGGAGGAGGAGGAGGAGGAGTTACGGAGTTACGGATATTGCGACCATGTCGGTTACTAATGAGGGCCCAAACAGCAAACTTAAACGGGTTTACCCGCAGCGGCCCGCTTGGCTCGCTCAGCTTTGCTATATTGTTTGGGCCATAAACCCTGTTGAATTCGATTAAGGTAGTCTTGCCGACTACGCTTAGGTTCACACTCCTTGGACAACTTAGCCAGCTGTTCAGCGGCAAAGCTTCCACAAGTAGTACAAAACCATACCCCCAGTCCAGCATGATATTTAAGATGGTGAGACGGATGTGCATATCCCCCCCCTACGTGCACCCGCAGCCCTGGAGGGGGTTCCCACACTACACCATCGCCCGTGGAAAGGGGAAAACACGGAGAGTCCAGCCAGGCCTTCTTCTGGGCCTGAGAGGTCGACCCCTTACAACGATTACAACTAAGACCTGACTCAGACAACTGATGCTGAGAGCTGAAAATACTACAAACAGCAGGGGCAGGCGGCCTAGGTCCTGGGTGCCTCAGACGGGGCCTCGGGCCCTCAGAATTCTGCTCAGACTCTATAGCTTCTAGCGTACTCAGGAGAATTCGCATTCGTACGAGATAAGCCATGCGCTCGGTACGATATACACGTGCACGCACATCGTCCTGGACACGAACAGTGCTCGCAGCTACACCAGCAAGCTCGTCGGCTACTGCATTCCCTAAGATGAAGGGCACTGGGGTCCGACGCTGGCACATATCGATGGCTTCCTGATGCGAGTGCACAAAGATGACTGTGACCTTCAACTGAGACCCTCTGGCCTTCAGAACGGTGCCTATCAAAAACCAGAGGTCAGCATTTTCACCTGAGGGGCTGGCGGGGTGGCCGCTGTACCAGCCAGAACATACAGCAGCATTGTCCGTGACAAAATAACGTGGCCACTGCCGCCACGCACCGTGAGATACAGGGCGTATAGCTCACCACGTGCCACCGTCTGAACATCTCCTGGAAGGCCACCCCAGATGCCGATCTCGATCATCATATCGGGGGTCAGCTCAGAGTAAACTGCCACCGCCAGGCCGACCCTCCGTAAGGCGGCGTCACTGGTGTCCTTCCCTCCGCTGGCGTCGCCGAACGCGTAGGTAGGGTTGTCCTCTGAACCGTGTGGGAAACACGCCTCGTCGAAGCCGTTGATGCCGTGGCATGTCCAGTCCTCACTCTGAATCGGCTTGGGCACCTCCAGCCATGGCTCGGGAATCAAGCCGCGCACCCAGAAGCAAGCCTCGGCCTCACTGCCAGTCTGCGCCCTGGCTGCAAACTCATCAGACAGTTTGTATATCTCATGAGGCTTGCGGCCTGTACACTCCCAAATCCTGTGAAAAGACGTCTCTTTGCATTCTTTGCACCGTGTACAAACTTCTGAGATACTCTGCTTGGACCGCTGCTGCCGTCTAGCTCGGGGCCACGCGGCGCCTGCAGCGGAGGCCAAAAGCAGGCCTGCCAAGCGACGACCGCCTGGCGCTGCCTCCAGTTGGCGAAGCAGTTGACGATAAGAAGCATTGTGAACTCCTTGCTCCATCCCAGCACCATCGAAATGAGATGAAGCCTCAAACCACAGCTGTCTTTGAATCGTGCGGGTGAACTCTGTGAAGATCTGCTGGGGAATGTCAATGCAGCTGAAGCCTGTGAGATTCTCGACCTTAAACTCCCAGCTGTTGACCATGCCAGTGTTATCAGAAGGAATCTGCCACTCTGACGGACTGATGGGATCCCACCCAGCCTCAAGCAAGTACGTGATGACTGTACCTTGAGGCCCACGGATGAAACGATGCCGTCGCTCGGGGGACATACCCCGTAGCTCCTGCGCCAGCCGCCGCCACGACTGATTGATTCCAGACCTGATGTGGGGGGCGGACGTCCAGCATGACAGCCATAGCCGTAGGCAATCCACTGGCATCTTGAAAGCTGGGTCGCGCTGATGGGCGCGAAGGTCGAGCAATGTAGTTAAACACCGCCCTGACAACCTCGGAGCAACTGCATTCGCAACTTTACGTCGTACTTGCAACATCTGCTGTCCGAATAATCCGTGAATTTGATGACCATATGTGCCTGCAGCTTGGGCGCCCTGCTGCTCGAGACGGCTCGTCAAGCCGTACCGCCTCGTCGCACGGGCGTACTGCAGAACTTTCCTACTCATCCGATTGTGCTTGGCGGTCCTGGCGGTCCGAGTGGCCCTGGCATGCCGCTTGCCGCCGCCCATATCACCACCAAGGTAAGCTGTCTGGCCCACCGCGTTGATGTGATACCCCCTGAGCCGTAGACGTCGAGCGATCACCTTCGCGTCGCACATCCGCGTGCAAAGGATCACGCTCTTCGGGGAGACCTGCAGGCCAGCTGACTGGATGGCCTCGCAAGTATCTGACAAACATTGCACCATCTTAGAAACCATGGCTCGTCTCGACGCACGATAGCTCTGGCTCAGGTCGTCAATCCAAAGCCTATGCGCCATGTCCATGTGCACCGTCGTGATCCGAGCCATGATGTGGTACGTGACGCACTTGGCAAAGCGCGTCCCAGCTCTGAGACCCTGGACGATCGATCTCGTGGGGTCGAAGGGAGCTGAGTACGCGCCTGCCTGGCGCACACAACGCGAGGCCATGCACTGCAGCAGCTCCAGCCCCAGAATCTCCGCGGGGAAATTGAGCTTGAGCGCCGTCTGACCAAGCAACAGCCACCCGATGGTGTCGTAAAAACTGGCTAGGTCTATGAGGCCGTGCCCGTACTCGGTAGACAACCGCACTGCCAGCTCCTCGTCGATCGCCCGCAAGAAGACCTCGCGAATCGCCGAGTTGCCGCGGATGGCAGCATCCCAGTGTGCCTCGCACTGGTCCGTCCAGGTGCGCACGTGCACCTCGCGAGCAGCCGACCAGAGCCGCGCCAGGTGGGGAAGCAGCCCTATCACACGGTCCCCCTTCAGCTTCTTGGGAAGCAGGGTGCCGATGGTCAGCATGAGTTGGTGCGGCCATACTTGTCGAGCCTCACACACATTGAGCAGTGCTGCCAACTCATCGAGAGCTGGGTCAGGAAGGCGGGACGTGTCCAACGGTGTCAGACGATCTACCCCCATCGCACCACACTTCATACGATCAGATGCCTCTCGCAGGGTAACACCATCAAGAGGTGGA